CCTAATTGCCAGGCTGAAGCCGCCCCTTTACTACTACTACTACTACTATCCATTAACTTAGACATATACTTGGCAGATATATTTGGCCCACTGTATGAATCTGTATCATTACAAGATGAACCATTTGTACAAGAACACTGGGGCCTTTAAGGTTTCTGTAGAAATTGATGGTTTGACACAATTTAGGTACGATATGCCACTGCAGATAGCACAACAGATAACAAGATGACCAAAGACTTTACCATCACACACAGTACAGTTTTCCGCCATTGTCAAAAAAATACTCTCGATAAGTCAGTGTATAAGATGAACAACTGAAATGTTTAGATTATGCTGTTAAAGTTTGAAGAAAATCCATGAATTACACCGGCACACACAAAAAAAAGTGCCCTGTTACAGAACACCCACTTATATATTCCCACATATTTTTTCCTGCTGAATTCGAATCCGAGGTCAGAATTGGACCATCACCCTAAGATTTTTTGTCGGAGCCAAAAAGCTACGTAAAAACCAACCAGACCGAGAATGAAAATAAAACAATGCTAGAGGGACGCCAGAGTTGTTTTTCGATATCTTCAATGGTTAAAAGGATATGAAGGGTCATGTTTTCAGTCACGTGACCCACCCACAATTTTTGAAATTAGCGATCAGCCCGTAACTTTTTTATTTCTCGACCTAGAAGGATGCGGTTTGGTTTGCTGGAATCTTAAAATGAAATGCTAGAGGGATGGCACAGTTATTTTTTCGATATTTTTAACGGTTAAAAAGTTATGAAGGGGTTTTGTTAGGTCACATTTCCAGTCACGTGACCCACCTAAAATGTTTGAGATAATGGGCCAATTCTGACCTCGAATTCGGATTCAGCAAGAAAAAGTACATGGAAATTATATAGTACATTTTCAAAATTTATAATTTATCATTATTTTGGTCGGTTTTCAAGTGATTTTTCGGCTTTTATGAAAAATCCTATTGTGATGGGTCAATTCTGACCTCGAATTCAAATTCAGCAGAAAAAAATATGTGGGAAATATAGGTGGATGTTCTGTAACAGAGCACTTTTTTTTTTAAATGTTACGATATACTGGATGTTTCAGTTCGGATGAATTAAACTTTAACCACAAATAGAACTCAATAAATAATTCAGAATTGCCTTATAAAGCAAGGGCCTAAGTCTCACCGTTTTCACTGTTCAGGGTTGGTTTTATAACAAATTCATTCAAATTTGATGCAGTGTTAACATTTACACATGTGCATAATTTACTGTAAAATTTACAAATTTTTGTATGTCAATGGGTAGTAACTTTTACGCCAATGACCTAATCATTTGGGATTCATTTTTAGATTCCATGGACAATTCTACATAAAAAAGATATACTTGTTGTAAATTGGTATAGTGTATCGTTTTACCGAAAATCTCAGTTGAATGGGAGACCGTTCTTCTGATCTCAGAAATTTAGTTTCTTAAGGATAGGAAATAAATTTTAAATTATTATTATAATGTCACATATTAACTTAGAATTCAAAACAATATTATGTCTATGGAGGTGCCATTGAATATGCTGTTCACAGCACTGTAGCGCAACAAAAAAATGAGTTCAGAGGAGAATTCACCCTCCGAATTCAAAACATTACGAATGCAATAAATAAAAAGCAATTTACCAGTGGTTTCGCCGATGTAGAGACATATTATTTAATATTGTTTTGAATTCTAAGTTAATACGTGAAAAATTTACTTTTTATCCTTAAGAAACAAAATTTCTGATCAGAACAGCCTCCCATTCAACTGAGATTTTCGGTAAAACGATACACTATACCGATTTTCAACAAGTATACCATTTTTATGTAGAATTGTCCACGAAATCTAAAAATAAATCCCAAATGATTTTATTAGGTCATTGGCATAGAAGTTGGGGTAAAAAAATCCCGCTTACTACCTACCCATTCCTACGCCACTGACATACAAAAATTTGTAAATTTTACAGTAAATTATGCACATGTGTTAACACTACACCACTAACCACTAACACTACACCAAATTTAAATCAATTTGTTATAAGCATACCAAAGATTTAATAAATAATGTGATTTTAAAAACCGACCAATGCGACCTTGTATAGTGAAAACGGTGAGACTTAGACCCGTGCTTTATAAGGCAATTCTGAATTATTTATTGAATTTTATTTTTGGCTAAAGTTTGATTCACTCGAACTGAAACACCATGTAGATGTATAATATTCTTTTGTGGTGCACAGACTTTTTAGATATTTTTTCGTCAAGATGTACCGAACTGCTGAAACATCAAATTTTCAACATAGATAGAAACAAAATAGATAGAAGGCTGCTACAAAAATTTACAAAAGAAGGTCTAGCATTTTAATGCGTGTGTATTATAGCTTAGGCTTAGAGAGCGAAAATATATGAGTATTTTATTATACATATCTGCTCCGTTATGTCTTATGTACCATATTACATGTACAAGGGAAAATCTATAGATTTAATTGACTTAAGTAATTATTACACTGTTAATTGTGCTTATGCTTACACTTTATGAATATCAAATTAAATTTTTATGTGTACTAAACGCATTACTCTTTATATATAGTAGCCACTTAGAACAGTTTCTTGCTCATACTATGTCACCGAAATCGTCACTCAGTATTTTAATTTAATCACAGGCTGCAGAATGAACTGGTTTTTTGTAGTTAATTTTTTTTTATTTATACCAAACGGTAAAAATGTAACTGTAATTATCTACTCATGCAGGAATTATTGAAATGATTATCAAAATTAATAAACCAGTGACGTGTTCCCACCTCAGGAATGCCATTAAACAACTCACGGTCAAAGTTTGTAGGCAACTTTCCTCTTTAGCGATCAACTAACCTGGAGGTTAAATTGTGAGTAAACATTGTATATTCATAGTTTAATCACTTAATTAGTTCGCATACTTAACCGATATTTGCAACATTCCTAGTTAACAATAATTGGCCGACTTCTAATTTGGACTCGCCCTAGTCTAATCCAGAAGTAGGTCCAGGAGAATGTGATAGTACTTTTAAAAATAAGTAGTGCAAGTTTTTCATATGAATTTTTTTTATAAAATGCTTCTTCGTAATATGATAAAGTTTAAAAAAATACTATTTTTTATATTTTTCAAAGTAATGGAAACATACAAATTAAATTTGGTACACATCATACCTGGATAGGTACCATTAATATATGGTAGTACCAAAACACTAAGCAACCTGTAGCAGAAATATAAACAATCCCTTTAATTAATTTAATAGAAAGTAGTATAAAGCTTTCAGTTTTAAATGAAAAAAAATTTCTTTTGAACTGATTTTTTTTTATTTTGCATTAGAGAATACAAGGCTTTGATGAATCAAACTAATTTCTTGTTTGAATCATTTTTATGAAACTTGCACATTGGTAATGCTAAGATTATACAGGGTGTTCCACCTAAGAGGGATTCTTCTATAACTTTGCAACTGTAAAATTTATTTAAAAAATGGTTTTAATATTTGTCTGGAATCATGTACATAATTTTGTTATTTTAATTGGAACACCCTGTATATTATTGCAATTTTGAATTCCTTGGTTAATATTAGGTAGAGTTTATTAAATCTACAGGGTGTTTAAGACTCACTATTTTCGAGATATTCAGTTGATTTTGAAAAAAATCATGATATCAGCTTTCTAAATGAGGGTAGGTAGATAGCATTTATACCGTAAGAGTTAGAAAATTGCATTTTTTTTCGTTTTGGCATAAATTACTCGATCTTGTAATCTGTGAGCAAAACGTGTACTTTATTCAGACTCGGAAATACTGATACACCTATTTTTAATAATCTTACGAGTTGAAAAACTTTTCTTTTTCAAATATTAATTGTCATGGGTGAATGCAAAATTGAACGCCCTTTTGACTGATATAAGTTTGTCCATACTTATCTCTAAAAGTTTTACAGAAAAATCAGGTTCTTTTCTAAAGTCCAAAAAAGTAGCTATGTAACAGCGTCAAGAAGGTCTTGCAAATAATATTTATTCCACTGTTTGATATACAAAGCAAATTAAATGTAACTAGTTTTGATTAACGTTGACGTTGTAGTCATTTTGCTAAGTAGAGAGTAAAAGTTTATCATATTTTCAAAACGTTGCTGACGCAGGAAGAAATGGTTGATATGGTTTCTGTCCTCGGTGAGTGCGACAGAAATCCGTTATTGGCATCACCAATTTATGCACAGCGCTATCTAGACAGACCACCTTCTTGATCTATTAAATGAGATCTCGGTTAACCTCACTTAATTATCCAACCAGAATTCAGAATAATGTATTAGTTAACATCTTGAGTATATAAAACACAGTAGCAAATACAAGGATGATACTTTATTGAAAGGAATTGATTAATATTTTTTTATATATTATTATTTTTTGTTAAATATTTACCAAATTACAGTTTTAGTGAGGTACCAGTATATAAAGAGTAATCAATCAATTTTTTTAATTTAAGAAAAAATATTTTATTGGATTTGTGGGATTTGTTGCTTTTAAGTTAACATGTGCAAGTTGTATGTTTTCAATACTTAACGACATATACAGAAAAACCATTTTCTTAAAATATTTAATTTTAAATAACTGCCTAATTTTATTTCATTATTTAAAAAAATGTGCTTGTAATGGATAAGAAAAAATAAGTTTTTGTGTTTATTTTAAAACAAAATCATTACAGTTCAGTAGAATCTATTTAAATATCATTTTTTTCATTTGTGACATTTTCTGCTTTAATAAAAATCGATAGATAACATTTTGTCAAATTTTGATTGAAACTATGTCCATACCTTTGTGCTTTACTGGCAGCAAGGGATATTAATATTCAATGATATTTTATAATTTAAAATTTGAGACAAATATGTTTTGGTACAACATTACCAATAGTAGACAAATAACTTCATTTGAATATTTTTTTTCCTTATGATTAATATATGTTTGCATGTATGTCACAGGATAAATAAAAAATAACAGCCTCAAACATGTCTTCTAGTCAACTTATGGATTCTTGTGTGTAAGTAACCATGTTTCATATATAGTAGTAGTGTTTTTAATTTTTTTCCTCATTTTTAATAGACATTGCATATAGATAACAAGAACATAGAATACTTGTATTCTTCAATTGTATATATTGTACTTAAATATACGGATCATATATACGGTGATTTTAAGTAAAAAAAAAACATCCTAACGTTTGAAACATCAAATATTTTTACCTTTTATTTAATAATAGTGAAATAATAAGAAATGTGCTGAAGTGGTACACTACATTTTTAATCATACATCTTTTTCCATTATTCTCAAGCCAAAAAAACTATGAAGTTTTTTAAGCTTTGTATGTCATGCTTTGTAAAAATCAGTTAATGTTCACCAAAATTTCTTAAATTTCAAAATGACCCTACAAATGTTTTACTTTTATTTTCTTATTTGGTGAAATACATGTCACTCAACCATGGTACTGTCAGTCTTTCTGATAGAAACAGTTTTCAGTTATATGAAAAATTTCTGCAAAATGCGCAAATAATTTTAAATTTTTACAAATGTAGATCCATAACTTGAATAAATGTTAAAATCTTCAGTCTCAGGGACAAATTTAAAAGAAATGTGAACTTAAGCAATATTTAATATTTCATAACATATATTTGAAAATTTTAAATTAAAAGAAATATTGTATTGTAATGAAGCAGTGTTGTATGGTTCAGTATTTATTATATACAGGGTATTCCATAATTAGCCTCGTAAAATCACCACATGTTTATACAGGGTGATTCAGTCATAATGTCATTAATTTTAAGAGCAGATAGAGAAAAATGAGTATAATACGATGGCGTGATTAAAAAAAATTAAATGCATATTTAAGCTGAAAAAAAATATTTTCAAATCATTATTTAACCCCCTTTTCGCCTTCTTAGCGGGAGTTATGGGTTGATTTCCTTCATTTTTAAAAGTCGAGTAAAAAATTTTTTTTCCGATTTTCTGTCTTTATTAAGCCTTCCGAATACGTGATTAAAATTAATGACATTATGACTGAATCACCCTGTATATTCGCCATACCCATTTTATGTCAACCACAGCAAACTTTTACCAGAATTTTTGGAGTTCACTTAAATCTGAGTAGCAATCGCTCGATAAATCCTTCGTAGCCCGCCTCAATTAGTGAAACTAACTGCTTCGAATAGAGACTATTTTACAGTGAATATATTTGTCATAACCATTAGAAAATGACTTTAAACGACCCCGCACAAACCTTATAGATTTCAGGACCCGGTGGATTTGTCTGTTTTGATATTTTGTACTTGATATCCTCCTGATTAAAAGTGTCAATGGGCGCAAAGTCAAAAATGAACAGTTTTGGGATACCGAGGACCGAGGAGCAAAATCTCCTAAAATGAAACATTTCTTGGGACGGCACGGTAAAAAGATATACGATTTTGGATCATAATAGATATTTAAGTACATTATTTTCATGTATATTTGGTCCAATTAACTTCCATAATCCATCTACCTTAATATATATAGGGTGTCCCATTTTAAATTACGCACCTGAATATCTCATCAGGGAAGCCACCAATCCGAAAATAACCCTTATGAAAGTTGTTAGGTTTGGAGGGGGGATATCGGATGGTGACTTTCAATTTGACCTTGACCTTAACTTTCAAGGCCATTTGAAGGTCAAATCGAATTGTTTAAATAGGAACCTCTATTATTAATTATTATTATATATTATTCTCTCCCGGATTCGGAAAGAATTTTACGTTTAGATAAGTTATGCAAATAATATTATAAATTACATTTTAAAATAACATTTATAAATAGTTTGTTGAATAATAATAAGGAAAAGAGCGAGCCGCCGCGCCGCTCCGTTTGCAACGCTGATGGCCTACGCGAAACTTATTTCTTTTTTCGCTGACTGACGGGCGTTGTTCCACAAAATTGTTGACAGACCATTTTGTTTGTTGTTAATATAACAATTAATACCCTCACAAAAGTTTTGAAGTATAGAAAATGAATTGCACATTATTTATTTTTTGTACATAACTTTTATTTATATGCAATATAGAATTTGTATAACGATTTTCAGCCTTAGTAAATCCATTTTATTACCTCGGTAGGTACGACAACTTTGATAGTGTACCTGAGGCACCTGTTCTCGGTTTTGCTTGACTGACGAGTATGTTTGTGTACACAACTACTGTAATCAACTATAAAAAAACTAGGCAACTTTTTTGCTTCTGGCTCTCCGCCTAGAAGGTTATTATCGTACGGCCCCCTTAAAACCTTATAACTTTTGTTCTGGAAGTTTTTCAATTGGAGGTGATCCTGCAAAGTTATTCGGGGTGATTGATTGAAATGAGACACCAAATATATATATGGGTGTCCCGAAATTAATGCAACAATTTTTATTTTTGCCGAGTAGCTCCCTTTTTTTGGGAGTTACAGCCCCCTGAAGCCCGCCCCTAAGAATAATCTTTGTTTATATCTGTTGTACGAGAATCACTAAATTTGATACACAGGGGTTTTATGACATGTGGAATCCGATGGTCCTACGTTTTTTGGTGGGGAACCCCCTTAAAACAATTTTTCGTGGGCCCCATTGTCTTTGGAGCTAAAAAAATTTGGTCGCATATTTAAATTTCTTAAAAAATTATTAGTCCATTAGAAAGCCATTAAATGTAGAAACTTTTTGTTTTCATACTTTTTTCGTTAAACGCAATGTTTTCGAGAAAAATGTCAAAATGTGATCGAATGCATATCATGATTCGGCATTTTCCTCAAAAACATTGCGTTTTACGAAGAAAATGTCAAGAGACAAAAAAGTTTCTAAATTCAATGGCTTTCTAGTTAACTTATAATTAAAAAAAATCAAATTTGCAACCAAATTTTTCTGGCTCCAAAGACAAGGGGGCCCACGAAAAGATGTCTTAAGGGAGTTTCTCGCCAAAAAGCACTGAGATTCCACGTGTCATAAAACCCCTGTGTACCAAATTTAGTGATTCTCGTACAACATGGTTTTGAGATATAAAAAAGACTTCAGGGGGCTGTAACTCTGAAAAAGGGGGCCAGTTGGCAAAAAGAAAAAATACGGGTCTCCTAAATTTGTCTTAAGAATCTATGACCAAATTTTGTTGCATGAATTTCGGGACACCCTGTATATATATACAGGGTGATTCAGAACTTATCCAAAAAAAAATTCTGGATGTACAGGGGACCCTTACAAATACAATTTTGTAAAGAAAAAATCAAAAAGGTCAGTTCAAAATTGATTTAAAAATACACTTCTGCACGGCACTGGAAACTAGTCCACTGTAAAACCTGACCTCGCACAATGCGATCGTTATGGCGGCGTGATATAAACGGACAAAAACTTTCGCAAGGAAAGAAATATGTAAATAGAATTTTATCCCACCTATTTTATATCGGCAAATTCAAATGCTTTTGCCTTTATTAATTATTAATAAAATTAATTTGTGTTTTTAAATAATAAAATCATTTGACATACCCGATGCCGCAACAGCAATTGTTCAAAATTTTATCCACTCACGTGTAAACACATTTGGGTCCGTCTTACTCACTTTCTACGAACTAACACAAATGATGTCTTGTTTCACCATAACACAAACGCTTCACCATAAATTAAAACGATATCCATCACGAGTACACGCAAACCATTTTTGACACTAACTACCCATTTTTGACACCAACTACTAAAAACGTATTTTAAAAACCACAGATAACAGGTAAATACGCAACGACGATTGCAAAATCCGAATTCCGTATTCGGAGTCGATGAGGCCACGTGGCGAATGATGCTAGAGATTACAGTTGTCCAGCTGTGTAGTGGTTTAATGTGCTATAACTTCTATAATTTTTTTCTCAGAAATTATAAGGATTTTACAAAAATTTTTTGTACAATATTGACTCCATTTCTCATGCCGCATCTATTCCCAATTTTTTTTGATAAGTTGTGAATCACCCTGTATATACAGGGCATGGTATAACTATAAATAGGTATGACATTGCGCATGTGGCGGCCATGTTTGATGACGTATCATGGTGACAGGCTCCATCTCTTTTTAACGTGCGTTTCGCTTTTCGCGCCATTTATATGAACAGTAGCTGTCAGAATCTGTGTTCTGTCAGAATCCGTTTAACCACAATATATTTACTAGCGTTTAACTGCGTTGTTTCTTTGTTAAATAGTTGTTTTATTTACTGATACGTAACAGTGATAGTTATTAAAATGCGTTGTGCAGTGTTTAGGTGTAATTCAAACAATAATTGCAAAAATTTTGACTCCAACAAAGAAGGCGTGCGTTCAGAGTGCGGTTTTAACATTTAATATAATTTTGGATCTTTAAAAGTGTTATATTTAATAACCTGTTTCCAATAATTTTCAATTCAGAATTTTAATATTTTTGTAAAATTGGAAAAATCGTCAGAAATGGAAAAAAATTAATGAAATCTCCACTTTCTAAAAACTGATTGACTGAAAATGATTACAAACTGAATCCTAAAGGTATGCTACTTTTATTTCATTTTCCTAAATTCTTATCAAGTGAACTTGTTACATGCCTATGATATTATGATATTAAATTTAAGAAAAAAAAATAGTAAAATTAGTGTTAAAAATAAAGTAGTTTGAATTTGAAATTAGTTAACAGTGAAAATACAGAAGTATCTGAAAATACTTCAAAAATAAATCTAGCACTTTAACTCAAGAACAAATGGGCTGCCAAATTTCTTATTCTAACAACTGAATATCCACTGAATATTATGGCCCATTTACACGAGGCCAGTTGTGAAGACATTCCATTAAGCCAATCCAATGACAAAGTTGAAAACAATCCAATAAAAATTCAATTGAAATTTACACGTAGGCCAGTTCGCCATCCGCTAGTATCTTTGTTTAATCTATGGTCTAGTATATACGGTTGTGTAGAATGGATAGGCGAAAAACTTTGAAAGCTAAATTGAAAAAAGTATTAATTTTAACACAACAGGAAATACTCGAAATAATAGAGGAAGAATCAACTGTCGAATGAAGATGATGGGTCAGACCATGGAGATCCACAATGGGCCAATCAAGTCTTATTTTAAGAGAATTAGAAACAGAAGATCCTGAAGAATACAAATTGTGCATCTCGGCACTCCATTTAGACAAAACCATGTTGAAAACTGATTGCAAACTACACAAAAAAAAAAAACAAATCCAAGACACGTGTGTCTGGCAAAAATATAGGCGACTGGCTTACTGACTAGGTGGCTAGGTGGCTAGGCTAGGCTTGGCTAGGAACGTACGTTCTGACAAATGCTATTACACAAGCCAATCCACTTCTTGCGTGGTGGGGGACGCTATTGGCTCCTAAAATTAGAAACCGTTCTAATTAGTGGAGTGGCTTGGGACAATGGCTGGAGACATTCCATTTACAAGACTGTCTCTATTTAACAATGCCAATGTTGGATTGGCTTAGTGGAATGTTTTCACAACTGGCCTTGTGTAAATGGGCCATTAAGCTTGAGAAAGTATTACTATTTTTCCTATCTTCAGTATATACATAATTTCTAAAATATGTTGAAATCCAATCAGATTCGTCTTACTCTTCATTTTTTTGTGGCAGATTTCCTGTGAGGTAAATGACACCATTATCACATAATTGCATGACATGTAGATTTACATCCCATAATTTTTTCACAATCATCATAATAAGGCAAACCCTCATTTTGAGTATTCCAGTTTAAATTGTCACTTGCATCATTGAAATTCTGCCAATAAGGTCAGTGTTATTTTTTCTGCATGCCATTAATGTATGTTAATGCTTTGGCTAAAAAAATTTGCTTTTATAATGGCAGCTTGGTCAATAGGAGAGTGGAACAAAGACAGGAACACAGCATCACCCACACTGAAGTTACGCAAAGGTAGGCATGTCGATTTTTTTCACAATTTGCAGTTAATAAGTAACTGTGTCTGCTATTTATTTCGTATCTCTTTTACACCTTTAAAAATTTTAGCGGTATGTTACTACACTTCTGATTTTTGGAAATATTTGTATATTCATATTTCATATATGTATGTATACAGGGTGTATCAGTTCGAGTGAATGAAACTTTAACCACAAATAGAACTCAATAAATAATTCAGAATTGCCTTATAAAGCAAGGGTCTAAGTCTCACCATTTTCACTGTACAGGGCCGTATTGGTCGGTTGTTAAAATCATATTTACGAAATCTTTGGTATGCTTATAACAAATTCATTCACATTTGGTGTGTTGTTACCATTTACACAAGTGTATAATTTACAAGTTTTTGTCGGTCGGTCAGTGGCGTAGGAATGGGTAGTAAAGTGGGATTTTTTTACCCCAACTTCTACGAGAGTGGCCTAATCATTTGGGATTCATTTTTAAATTCCGTGGACAATTCTACATAAAATAGTATACTTGTTGAAAATCTCAGTTGAATGGGAGACCGTTCTTCTGATAAAAAATTTAGTTTCTTAAGGATAGGAAATAAATTTAAATTAATATTATTATGTCACGCATTAACTTAGATACAAAACAATATTAAATAATATGTCTACATCGGCGAAATGACTGGTAAATTCTAAATATAATCTTGTTTGTATTATTTATTGCATTATATTCCGCGGTCGAAATTATAGAGAGTGACTCATCGCTAGCTTTTGGACTAGTAAGGGGGATGAAGCGTGCCGGGAACGAAAATCCATTGGCGTGTCTGCGTAAAAGGCAATAAGATATAGAAAATATTGAAAAAAGGATAATAAAACATAACATCTAATATTTTTTTACGATTTGCTATAACCGGCACTTTGATTCATTTTAATTATTACAGCATTTTAAAACGTCTCAGTTGTGTTTTTTAATTTATAAATTTATTATAGCCACAGAATTAGAACCATCGTCTACGCTTATACTATGACGTTTCTCAGGACGGGTGAATCAAGTCCGTTTTCACCCACTAAAAAAGCATTTCCCTATTCCCTACCAAATGCAAAAGACAGAGATAGAATATAGATCAACGTTCAATGTAACTCAGTCTATAGACGATTATAGATTCTATCGATGTGCGTAGCGAGCGGCACAAAGAAATAATATCGAACCGTTATAAAAATCATTTTATATTTTATACGCGTTATGGTAATAGTGTTTTTATATTATGTATGAGTCACTCTCTATAATTTCCGCGGAGTATAGTAATGTGATGAATTCCCCTCTTCCCTCTTTGAGCTCATTTTTTTTGTTGCGCTACAGTGCAGTGGACTACATATTCAACGGCACTTCCTCTAAAATTTCATTTGCGCTATTCTGAAGCAATTATAGGTATCCTTGCTCATTCAACGGTCCGTTTGTTTCAAACAAGATATAATTTCTTTAAAAAATTACACTTACATATTAATTTTAAACCTGCGCTTTGCGTCCATTAAGTATCCGTACTAATGATTGCCATGAAAAAACAACTAAGCAATAGACTTATCTGTCATCAGGAATTGTCATTTATTTTTAAGAAATGAAATATTAGTGTTTGTAAAAAAATGAATGAATATTTAAGTCTTATCAATCCCAAGTCTCGATCTCTATCGTCATTATTTATAATTGTAACTTAATGTTGAAAGTAGGTCTTTTAGCGTCGCAAGCAATCCAGTAAGGCGCCGCGAAACCGACATTGACATAAAAAAAATTATGATATTAAATATTAATATAAAAAATTTCAAAAAATTATCATATTATTTAGACACTTGAATAAAAAAAAATAGGATCATTGTTGATTAACTAAAAATTTTAGAGTTCACGTTAGCATTCAAAGTCGGATAATTGTTTTAAACAAATGTGTTAAAACTATTTTGCTTCGTATAATCCTTTTGACAACTATACTTACGAGATCATCTTATTGCGATATCTTAAATAGTTATAACTCATTTAGTTGACAAAAAAATTAATATTTGGTCAAATAATTTTTTAGGGAAAATAGGCTTTGTTTTTATGAGTATGTTAGAAAGTTACATTAAAATACATTAGCTAGCATTTTAATAAAAAAATCCTATATTGTTTAAACAATTCGAGTAATCGGTTGAGTCAAATATTTATTGCATAGGTTATTTATTGCTTAAAAAAATCGTCTTGAAGGATATTTGTAACTTCCACAGTTTATGAGATAGTCAACAACAGTCAAAAACTGAATAATATGAAGAAAAGCTTAATTTTTTATAATCAAATTCATGCAACTAACAATGTCTTTATGTTAGAAGGTGAATTAAAAAACATTAGCTAAAAATTTTTTTCGTTTAAATAATTTCTGTAAACAAATGCAATAATTATATTCTTCAAATATTTTTTTGCATTTCATTCTTTACAGTATAGTATGATTTAAAAAGATTTGTTTAAATTTTTTAATTGTTTATAGTAGTTGTTTTATTTTATATATACAGTGTGACCCATTTGAAACCGAGACACCCTCATAAAACTTTTATTTACAGGGCGATTTGGACCAACTTTATTTTGAATTGTAGAGGGGAGAAAAGTGTACTTTAGGACCAAGTGTCATCCTCTTTATACAAAAACTAAGGCCTACCAGATCATTTTTGGACGGTAAAAATGGAAGAAACCATATTAGCGTTTTTTTAGAAAAAATCTGAGTACACCACTGGATTAAGCGAACCTTAAAATGGGCCTATACTAAATTTCATAAAAAAAATATTGCATATTAATAATTCTGTGGCAAAATTGAAAATCACATTGTTTTTGAATTTTTTTCGTCTGACGTCAAAAATAAAAGACAATAGGTATAGTTGTTACTATATCAGATGGAACCGTATAAAAACATTTAACTCATAAACTCTACGGAATCCATAGGCGTCCAGAAAAATTTTGCCTCGTCTCGTCTAGATATACTATATTCCAAGCTGTATTCCTATTTAGTTGACGATATTCTCTATTTTTTTGTAAATAATATTCCCGAAGTGCACCTATACGTCGTGATTCCATAATTACCATACGATCGTTCAAGTTTTTTATGTTTAAAACCGCATTGTACTAAAACATATCGTAAAGTATCTATACCCCGCGGTCGAAATTATAGAGAGTGACTCGAGACATAATATAAAAACACTATACCATAACGCGTATAAAATATAAAATGATTTTTATAACGATTCAATATTATTTATGTTTGTGCCGCTCGCTACGCACATCGATAGAATCTATAATCGTCTATAGACTGAGTTACACTGAACGTCGATCTATATTCTGTCTCTGTCAGTTGCACTTGGTAGGGAATAGGGAAATGCTTTTTTAGAGGGTGTAAACGGACTTGATTTACCCGTTCTGAGAAATGACATAGCATAAGTGTAGGCGAGGGGTCTAATGCCGTGCCTATAATAAATTTATAAATTAAAAAAACACAACCAGGACGTTTTAAAACGCTGTAATAATTAAAATCGGTCAAAGTGCCTGTTATAGCAAACCTTAAAAAAATATTAGGTGTTATGTTTTATTATCTTTTTTCCATATTTTCTATATCTTGCCTTTTACGCAGACACGCTAATGGATTTTCGTTCCCGGCACGCTTCATCCCCCTTACTAGTCCAAAAGCTAGCGATGAGTCACTCTCTATAATTTCGACCGCGGAGTATAAAGATTTATAACTATAATCAGGATAATTATCTCGGATCAAGTTTAAAGTAGGGACTTTATTTTCTTTACACATATTATAAATTGTGCGCCGTATTACATCTCTGGTAAAATCGTTAATATTCTATAATTTTGTATTTTTCCGTTTCCCCTTTGTACCGTGATTAATAACGTCTCATTATTTAATTACGCGATAAATTGTCCTTTTTGATGTCTTACAATTAGTTAATTCGCTAATCCATTTCCTAATTTCTTTATCACATTGTTCACTATTTTCTGTTTTCAAATATTCATATATACAGGCATCACGAGAGGGACATAGCTTAATGGGAGATAGAGGACATCTAGGATAACTAGGATCGCCTATAGAAATAGCTCCTTGGCAATTCTTTATTGAGATACAGGGTGATTTATGATTTTTGGTCAAAACTGCTTTATGTCGTAATTTTGGTAGGGAATGGAATAATGGGTTCGTATATGGTAGGGTTAATGCACTCACGATACTTCATGTATGCATGTATAAAAACAAAAAAAATCCAGGTCTGGACTGCAAAAATTGTTAAATTTTTGTGCAAGTCTAGAAAATAACACTGTATGTCCTTTTTTGAAATTCCGATACGATATTCGGAAAGAGCATAAAAAAGTGATCTTAAAGACGTGTTTATTTTTTTGTTACACTTTCGTGGTTATTTAAATAAGCTATTGAATATACGAGACTACGGCTTCTAAAACTAAATTACGTAAAGGACACATGATAAAAATGGTTTTGCAACTAAAATTAACGAAGGTTTAATTCAGGGTAGATGTTATAAATAAGCATGCATATTTTAAACCTCATTTTCTTTAAATAATATGTATTCCATGTCCGGACTGCAAAATTTTTAATTATTAACTCTAGAAAACATCGCCCCGTATGTATTTTTTTTGGTATTCCCCATACGATTATCGACAAGAACATAAAAAAGTAATCTCAGCGACATGTCTCTTTTTCTTGTTACACTGATGTTTATTTAAATACGCATGATAAAAACACATGACAAAAAATAAATTATAATCCGTCGATTTCGATTGCCATCGATACGTCGAACAATTGGAAATTTGGGTAAACGAGTAATAGCTGTTTTACATTGATAATTTATTCATCAATAAATTGACGAAGTTCTTCATCAATTGATTCACGAATTTATTGTTAGACAGTGTGGTTTTACACTGCTACAGACTTTGTCAAGTTTTTTGACGTATGAATCAGTTCTACCAATGAATCAAAGAAGCAA